GCACCATTTCTCTACATGTTTCCACACTTTCACGGCTTGCCCCATAATTGGTCCAAATGTTAGCATACAGTCATACGGCGACATGGCAGAGAACAAGACATCACCAAGTTTAAGGGGATAGACTTCTTTCCGTTTTAATCCAAGGTACATTGGTGCTTTCATCGATCCAGTTTCTCAAGGCTCGAAGCGTGAAGGAATAACCCTAACCCATTAAGGCCTCCACTGTGTTTGTTATATTGTAGAACTTTGTATCTGATTCTTGGGTATTGGTTTTTCCAAATATATTTTGAAATCCTGAAGTTTGTCCCAGAAAACCCCTGGTGGAGATAAAGGTACCATACTAGCTAAGAAATGAACTCTTGGTAGAACATTCATCTTTATGATTGAAATTCGTCCTGCTAAAGACATTTTTATATTAATCCACTTTTTTAGGTCATCTTTAATTGTTGTATACATTCTTTTGTAGTTCTTTGCTACTATTGGGTCTAATGAGGCATATCTATCAATTCCAAAATACTTAAAGTGTTGGACGATCTGCAATTCTGTATTTAGGTTTAGTTCAACCACGGCACTATTGAGGGGTAAAAGACATGACTTATTCAAATTGATCTTGTCACCAGATATTGAACTAAATTGGGTAAAGATAAGGAAGCGTAGTTGGTACCTCGTCCAAGTACAGTAGTAGATCATCCTCATATAACGAGATGTTGTGGTCTGTCTCTTTTACAACTATCTGTTTTACTTCTTTGGATAGTCTTATTTTCTGTGCAAGCGGTTCTAGAGAAATGGCAAACAGAAGCGCGGAGACAGGGCAGCCTTGCCGTGTGCCACGTAGAATTGGAAATCTAGGTGACCACTGATTGCCTGTCAGAACCATAGCACTTGGGTTATTATATAGGATCTTCACCATAATCACACATGTTGCCCCAAAACCCATTCTTTGCATTGTATGCCACACAAATGGCCATTCTATCAAAAGCTTTTTCAGCATCAACTGATAATACGGCGCAAGGCCATGTTATGTCTGCTGCAGAATGGATAACATGCAGTAGTCTCCTGATATCATCTGATGAGAATCGGTTTGTCATAAAGTCTCTTTGGTCATCATGAACTAATGTCGGAAGGACTTTCTCCAATCGTCGAGCTATTACTTTGGCATAGAGTTTGATTTCTGAATGTCTAAGTGATATTGGTCTAAAACCTGTGCATACGTTTGGGTCCCCTTCTTGTGTATGAGAGAAATTATAGCTGTATTGATATCCTTTTGGAAATGTCCTTCTTTGAGTGCTACCTGAATCATTTCCAATACTATTGGTCCTAAATCCGGAGGGATACCATCTATGCCAGGGGATGGGCCAAGGTTCATGTCTTCACTGCTTCAGATCATTCTTTAAGTGTTGTTTCACAGTCTAAGCGATCAATGTCCTCAGGGGAAAGATGTGGTCACTTCAGATCCACAAAGAAATGTTCTAACTGAATACGGACTGGATCATAAAGGACAATGCCATCGTTATTCCTAATTGAGGATATTTGGGCCAGCTGCTCGTTATTTGGGAGTTGACTTGCCAGCAGGGAGCTCGGTCTACTTCCATCTAGATATTCTGTGTTTCTTATGAATCAGAAATGTAGCTCTCTTGGTAAGCAGCGCATTGAGTTCAGCTCTTTATCTGAATGATAATGTTCCTGTAGTTCTCTAATCAGCGATGATAATGTACATTCTAGATCCACGATCGTCTTGAGCTCGTCCCTATCTCGGGCCGAGGAGTGCACTTTGGAACATAACCTTTTACAGCGTTCCATCGACGCCTAACATCTTTAACTGAATTATAATCAAACAACAGAAACTCTCTCAGCCCATTTTAAGCTGTTGACAGTATGGTGAATCTTGTAATGTCAAATTGAATCTCCACCTTGCAGCTCGATTGTTCTCCTGAGAGAGATGGTCTGATATTGACATACAGAATGTGATATTTCAGGATTTTGAACTAAATCTACAAGTTTAGAGATTAAAATATAGTCTATCCTTGAAAATGTAAGATGCCTCATAGAAAAGGAAGTAAACTCTTTTGATATAGGATGCCTTACTCTCCATATATCTACCAACGCATAGTTATTTTTAACGGTACTTAATGCTAGGTTAGCTGATGACCTGCTTTGGGTATTCCTTGATCTATCAATGGGTTCATTACAGCATTCACATCACCACCAATAATAATGTCATAATTGGTCATTTTGGAAATGACTTTTGAAAGTGATCCAAAGAGCGTAGGTTCATGTGAGTTCGGTGCATAGCATGTGGTCAGAGCTCTCTTTCTAAAGGACGCCTTGAAGAGAAGCAATTCTTCCTTCTTGATAACAATGTCATTTTAAATTATTGCAAATTAAAATGATTCCTCCTTTAGTTTTACTGTTTGAAGATGAATAAGCCACAACTTTATAAATATTATTCCCAACTTTATGAATATCTTCAGCAAATGCGTGAGTTTCTTGAAGAAATGCAATATCAGCCTTTTTCCGACCCAAGACATTTTGTAACCTTTAGATTGGAGTTAAGACCGCCTACGTTTAATGAGAGAACAATTAATCTAGTCATGTGTATCAAACCAAATGTACTTTGAGGACTTATGCATATTTTAACGTCATTTACATTGTCATAACAAACTCTGATTGGGATTTGACAAGACTACCTTCATTCCCTTAATTCCCAACTCTCCTCCCTTCTCCTCACCCCAAACAAAAAACAAAAAGAGGACCAATGAAATAATAAAATGCAATATCAGCAGATAAGTCATAATTTCCCTCTTTAGACTCCGCTCCATTCAGCAGAGCTGTGGCACAGAGCAGTAAGCACGCATGCTAACATCCCCTCTAGCAAGTTGCACAATACATTCAGAGCATTAAGGGACCGGTTTATAAGAGCTCAATTCTAATGAAATGAGAAGCAGTGAACACAGGAGCGGGTTGCAGCTATCGTCTACCTGCCTATTCAGCGGACGTGTTGCCGGAGGTCTGGACATCTTAGTTGGCTGTGAGCTAGATCAGGGGTTCCCAAACTTTGCCATGCCAAGGAAACCCATATATCATTGTCCTCTGGCGGGGACCCCCTTGTTGCAATTTTTTTTTAAATGATGAACATTATGATGGAAAATATGACAAATTAATCATACAGCTTAATACATTTTCTTAATATATATTTGTATTAATAATTAATAATCAGTTATTGTTCTAAAATGTTTTTGTATTTATCTTTTGTTTGTCATTCATTACATTCATTGTGTGTTCTGTTATAAACATTAACACAATATTAAAGAGTAATATCAACAGCAAACATATTTTAAAAGCATTTTTAAAGTGATTTCTGTCTTTAGAATATTATATAATTTTGAACAGTAATATGAACAATTAACATATATTTTTTGCATTTTTGAAAGCTACTTATGCCTTAATAATATTATATATAACATTCAACAGTAATATTAACAATAAACATATTTATATTCATATATATAAACAACAATATTTGCTACATCCGTGCTCTCATCCAGCTGCAGAGCGAAATATTCACTAGCTCTCACTTGCTCCAAAAGCTAAGCAGATGCTCAGTTTCACTCTCAGTAGCGGCAACTCGATTCTGATTGGCTTGAAGGGCGGTCGTGTGATTTAAAAAATAAAAATAAAATATTAATAAATAAAAAATATTAAAAAGATTGGCATCAAAGGACACATAGATTGATATATAAGCAGTTATTAATTACATTAAAAAAAAAAAACTACAAAAAAAAGGTAACTTTAAAAAAAGAAAAACAATTCCCCTTTCCCTCAAACTTTGCGTGACCCCGCTAGCACCCCCTGGCGGCCCCCCGGGGGGTCGGGGCCCCCACTTTGAAAAACACTGAGCTAGGTAACTTGAAAATGTACTTTATTACACAAACTTCATACAGTTGTAATCACCACAGTTGTATAGAATGTAAATACATGTAATATTGAAACTGGAGTGTAGATACTGCAAAACTGGCAATGACAGGGCATTTGTATTGTGTCTGCAAATAAATTAAAATCAAGACAAACAGATGCCTCATATGTTGTTTTCTAAGGAGAATAAGAATGTCATTGTTGGACAAATACCATGTAAAGTACATATATTACCTACCATCTCCATACGAATGTAAAATGAAAAAATAAAAAACGATATGGCATGCAGTTTGTCTCCAGCTACATACAGTTTATACATTTTCAAAAGGTTCACATGCTGTCAAAAGCGAGGAAATAACTGAACGCACAGCTTGATCTGTGATGTACAGGCAGCACACACTGACCTAATGGCTCACTCTGCATGTGCAAAGACAAAAATACCTTTTCATTAAAGTGACTTGAAATATACTCATCCCCGAGTCTTTCTCCATTCTTCCACATGTCTATTAGTCAGTCTCTTCGCCTCCATCTATTCATCCAGAGTAAATCTTACCACAGACTGAACCATTCATCTACACATTTTAATTCCCTTATTGTAAATAAATCCCAGTGTCATAATCATTCAGAGTATTCACACAGCTCTTATTTTGGTTTGTACTTCTGGGTAATTTCACCTAGCCGAGGTTTAGTTCAGATCATTTCAGAAACACTACATCCCTAAATGTAACACAGGTGCTGAGCAGTGGTGTAACAGTGATAATAAAAGCAGAGAACTATCCTTCCTTGTTTGCCCAAACAACCATCTCTACCTTTGCAAATCTATAATCCTGGTGCAACTTGATCATGCTTGTGTTGGTCCGAAATGATACTATAAGCCTGGTTTCCTTCCTCTCTCTGTGATTAAATATCTTTCCTCCTGCTCAGTATGTTCTCTCATACATTATTTACAACTAGAGGTAGGGTGTTGCTGTAAATCTCATCTTCTGGTCATGTTGTTCCGGTAACAGCAAAGTGAAACAGTCCCTGCAGCGTTACAGCACTTCCTGTCTCTGCAGACAAACTGGGAGTTTTTAGCCGCTTCCCTCTTCTTAATATATCAGTAACGTGCTCTGTTGTTGGTCCTGGACATGGTGAGAGGCAGAGACACTGACGAGAGAGAGGAGACCTCCCAATACAGAGAGCGGGACAGGAACAGCTGGTAGAGGATCACCATGGAGATGGTCTGGCAGAGGATCACACCGATGGTCACCACCTGTAACGAGAGAAGAAGAGATGGCGGGTCAGAGACAGCCGATGAACACTGGTGACATCATGATGTTGCGTTGCTGACATTTTACGAGTCTTCATACCTTCTCCCTCTGGTGTGCGTTAAAGATGGCCGACGTGAGGAAGATGACAGGATGGCAGAGGAACCACAGGAAGCATCCCTGCAGAGGACCATTTAAGTTGGTTTTTGAGTGACGTTGATTTTCATTGATGTGAAGTTTATCCGACGGTGAAAGAATGCAACGATTGATTGATTGATTGATTGATTAGCTCAGATGCTAACTATCAACTATTTTGGGTTATACATTTGTTTTGTTATTATCTACAGACTGGTACATTTCTTGAGGCAGTGAATTAGCGATCGTAGAATACTGGCAACATGGACACAAGGATCCACCACCTGATGCAGACTGGTGTGTCTTTAGGGCACATTAGCTTACTGTGTATTTATATGTCTTACCTTGGCGAAGCAGAGGTAGAAGTCTCTCTTCAGGGTGCTCCTCTCAGTGGAGATGATCTGGTAGAGGACGGAGGCCAGCAGGAGGGCGAGGACCACCCGGAGAAGCATGAGCAGCAGAGCGGCGACACTCTGCTGGACGTGGAAGCTGTGATGCTGACCCTCGGATTCAGAAAACTGCTCCCACAGCAGCAAGCCTCCCTGAGACCGACACAGTTTCACTCTCAATAACTTGAATATTATCATATGCTGATGTGTTTAAATCTAAACCACAGGCAGGTTTATCCACATGCATACAACATTTGAGGTTTTTAAATGAAGCCTCAAATGTCTGAAACAGAATCCTCTATTTTAAAAAAGTGGGAGGGCCTACACTTTTTTGAACACAGTTAAATATTGTTTTTGGACTCGAGTTATTGGAAATGTTTGGACCACACAAGTCAGAAACAATTGTATGCAACCAAAACTGGAATCTAATTCTACAAATAACATCATATTAAGAGTGTAGCCTACTCTTTACCTGCAACTATGCATAATTACCAACTTTAAAAACAATAAATAGACATGATTTAGAGTGTGTATATAAAGTGTATCTTCATGAAGCCCTGATAATAGCGTACCTGTACGACGACCCCCCCCACAGCCACGGCCCTGGACCTCGGGGTCTGTTCCCACTGCAGAGGGCCCGACTGAGGCTTCCTGCCGCGGCTCAGAGTCCAGCCCACACACAGACTCAGCAACATGTACAGCATGGACACCTGGGACACCATATCCCAGACTGCACCGGGAGCAGGAAGGGGAAGAGAAGATGGCACACAACTTAAAACTAAGGCCCAATCCCAAACCACACCCTACACACTACCCCAACACACTACCCCTCCGTTTGCGCGTTCACGCGGAGGGTCCGCCACATTAAGTGCTGTTTCAAACCAACAAGTGTGGAGCGGTGTGGAGGGGGAGTGGGCTATCAAGCCCTCAAACAGCGAGTCTGCAGCGGTGCTGACTTGAGACCGGTCGCGTCTATCGTTATTCCAACCCAGTTTAGATTTAACCACGCCCACTTCCGCATTACGCAAGGATCGACGTAGCTCTACGCGATAGCGTCATAGACACGGCACACGTAGAGCTACGTCGATCCTTGCGTAATGCGGAAGTGGGCGTGGTTAAATCTAAACTGGGTTGGAATAACGATAGNCTTATCCGTCAACTAATCCTCAACTTCCGTGTCTCACTTTTCCACTCAAACTCCTAACAAACTTACTACACTTCAACAACCGCTAGATGGCCACCGACCCCTGCCAGAGGACCTCACACCCCCAAGACGTCAGTTCGGGACAGTGGGTCAGGCCTCGAAGGATGACGTCATCATCGTCGTTGGCCTTGACCTCACACCAGCAACCTACTACGTGGTTCTACTCTCGCACGTTTACAACAACTCGAACACTTTCACCTTTTCAATTATAAACTTTAGTTACGCCACAACTACCCCTTCTTAGTACTCTATTAGCACTTTTTACTTTTGTTGTTATTTAGTTTTACTTGCTTGTAAGAGCTTTGAGCACCAGGAAAAGCGCTTTATAAATGTAATGTATTATTATTATTATTTAGCTCAGTAAAACATGCTAAAATACGTACATAAAAACCAGGAGGAACTTACATTATCCAGGTTTATTATCCTCCAGTCAGGGTGTCTGGTGACCAGTGAGCACACAAGATGTGAGCCGCTGGAAGGAGAAGATACAGGAGTTACATTTTGAGGTTTCATGCAATTGTACACCTTTATTTGTCCGCTAAAGATGATTTAAAAACCCCATACAAATTGCTACAAACGCAATGATATGTTGTAATGTGTTGTTGATTCCACTGAGTGTTTTAAAATAAATGTAGTGGAGTAAAAAGTTCAATATTGGCCTCAGAAATCACATGAAATATGAGTACAAAGTGTCAGAGAATGGAAATACTACACTATAATATAGTACTTTTCATCATCTCTGCGTACAGATGCTTACAGATCAACCACATCCAGCTGCATCTGCTTATTGGTTAATGCATGAATAAGAGGAATAACAATAGTAACATATATATAATTCATATTTTGCGTATTTAGGAGGTGAATTAAACTCGGTGTAGCCTACTGTAATGCTCCTCTAACATTAGTGTTAGAATCGTCTACAAACAGTAATTATTCAGATACAAACTGTAATTGAATTGAGCTTGGACATCATTCATATATTTCTGCATTTATGGTATAAACTCACATGAATCCAGAGCCTCCAGTCACCAGAACAGTGCTGTTAAAGTCCATATTCGAGTCATAGCACATTAAGGTCTCCTACAGACATAATAACGACCTTTTGATTATAATGTGTACAGTTTTATTACAGGCAAGCTAACAGGAAGTGATGCTATTCCATAAGCTTCACTACAGTACATTCATTGTGTGCGTTGCGACAGTTGCCGTGCCTTTTACGGCAGTGTTGACACGTTGAAAAGAGGCGGGACATCCATCACATGTACATTGGTTTCTGCAAACTGATTGGTTGCTTCACATGAGAGCGAAACAAAGGCGCGGTTTGATTCGCCGAATTCGAAATCAGTCAAACTGTCAGCGGGCGCTTCGTGGCTCATTGAATACATGAGTATATTTGTCGATAACGGTGAACTGCATTAGGTTAACAATGTCGTATTTATTAGCCACACTTACAGCTTTAGTGCTGCTTAATTCTGAGGCTTTTGGTAAAAGTGTGACGGGACTTTTTAAGAGTGAAGCAGCGAGGCAGCAGAGAGGACAGTTCATCACTAAATTCATGTACCAAGGTAACACTGATTTAAAGATGCGAACGTGTCATTTCTGCAGTGACAGGCTTATCTTAATCTGTTTTTAACTAATAAGTATTTTAACATGGTGTAATGACGAAGTGTCTTTCAATATACTGTCATTTTTTGATGCAAATACAACATGTCAGTATTATTTGTGATATATCATGTCTTTTTTTCATCACTTAATCGGATTATATCTACTGTGGTAATTTCTTAAATATATATATTTTTAACTAATGGAAAACTAAAACCAACACTTATGGAAAAAACGACCTTAAATGCAGTGTAATTTCATCTGTGGTGAATAACTGTGAGTGAGTCATTTAAGCTGAAAATGCATAGTGAGAATTGCAGGGATGATTTGATGATGATGATGATGATGATCTGATGAGTCGTTTAAATAAATACATATCTCTGACCCGTTTTGTCTCAGGTTCTGATGGTCTGCTGGTGATCCGGCTGGATAACGTTCCCCTGGCCACAGAGAAGGAGTCCAGACTGCTGCTGTTTCAGGACATGGACTCACAGCTGGAGAGCCTCAACTGCTCGGAGAGGATCAGCAAAGCTCAGCACGCCAGTAAGAAGAGACACTACAGAGCTGATGGGATGCAGCTGCTTTGATTGTAGTCTTCTTCTCATTACTAACGTCACTGTGTTTGCCCTCCTGCTTCAGTCTCTCTCACTGTAGATGAATACAACCAGACGATCCCTAAAGAGTCGACTCCGACAGCCTGGCAGGTCCTGTACGCAGACAGATACACATGTCAGGTAACTATCAAACTAAACCGCCGTAAAGGGATAGTTTGGGTATTTTGAAGAGGTGTACGCTAAGGAGAAAACTTCTGTGGAAGGAGGGAAGCGGCAAAATATAGTTTAGCATCGGAAAAACCCGATATCAGTCGAAGTGTACAATATATTTATGATATTCTCAACACGTCAAGTCATTTTTGCCGGGAAACCACAGCTGCTGCTCGGGAAAAACAAATCATAAAATCATATGTTTACCTCGCAGAACACAGGGGTTCCTGGTCTAGTTAGTTTTCTGTGTTAATGTGGGACTATTGTGAATCAAACACTAACCAAAGGTATTGACAGCAGTAATGTATCACTCTTTGTCTCCTGTCTCTCCAGAAGGATGCAGTGATCCCTTCTCACCCTGATCTCAGTTTCTCTATCTTGCTGTTCAACGCTGACTCAGCAGGAAATCCTCTGGAGCACTTCAGCGCAGAGGAGGCAGGTCAGACATCAACATAATACCATCAGGACTTTTATTAGGTTCTTATCACACATCTGCTTGCATTAAAGGCCTTTCATTAACCTTGTTTTCTGTCTTAATAGAGATATCCACACCCCGTGCTCTGTGTGTACTCAGAATACATTAAATATTCAAAGGGTTCAAAGTGCCTAATGGTTTGCTCTATGACCACTTTCTAATATCCAGAGATGTAGGAATTGTTCTCCATCATTCATGAGTGACAGACTCTTCTATTCTCTCTCTCTCTCTCCCAGGTCTCCACACCTTTTACTTCCTCCTGCTGCTGGCCTACTTCATAGCGAGCTGTATTTACTTCAAGCCTCTGCAGCAGGCTCTGAAGAAAGGCGGCCCGATGCACTCCATCCTCAGAGTGCTGAGCACCGTGCTGGCTCTGCAGGGCTGCTCGGCGCTCTGCAGCTACATCCACCTGGCCAGGTAACATCTGACAGGAGACCTAATTACATCACATTTAAATATTCAGCACAACAGTTCCAGTAAGTATTTCCATTTCTGATGTAATAATGAAGGAGTTCTCGGTGAAGTGGATATTGGCTTTTTCCAGTACTCCTCTTATTATTATAATAATAATAATACATTTGATTTATATAGCGCTTTTCCTGGTGCTCAAAGCGCTTTACAAGCAAGTAAAGATGAACAATAACAACATAAGTAACAAGTGCTAAGCTAGGTGGAATACGGGCGAGGGGTTAGTGGATTAGGAGTTGAAGGCAAGAGTGATCATGATGTACGTATGTAAGCAATTCCACACGTAGTTTTTAAGAAAGTAACCTGCGATGGCTTTGAAACATTTTCATTACAGTGTTCTTCGTTATGTATTTAATGAATACACTGTTTCCTGTTCTGCAGGTACTCCAGAGACGGTGTTGGTCTCCATCTGATGGGCAGCCTGGCAGAGTGTATGTTCCTCTGTATTCATATTTCATGTATACATTTAGGCCCGATCCCAAACCACGCCCTGCACCCTACCCCTACACACTCCCCCTCCGTGACGTAGTGACACTCGCAGTCGCAGCTCAACGAGGCTCCCTCCTGTCAGATGGAGGGAGTAAATGCAGCGGCAAGCTTTGGGACGGCCTCCCCTCTCTCCGGCAGAAACAGGAAATGCCGTAACTGTATGTAACAACGGTTTCAAATCAGCATCTCTTAGACAAACAATTACAATTAATAACTCAAATAAAACTCCAAACATCCTTAATTTTGTTGATGTTTATAAGCTTTTCCAACAGTCTGTAAATATACACAACTTTATCATAAAATGCACACATTTACCTTTTTCTAGACTAAACACAGTATGATCCAAAGTTAAAACATATGAGGTTATCATGAGGT